CTGTCAGATAGGTATGCATGGATAACATTCTGAGTTATAAATAGTATTTATCTATTCCCAAAGATCTCTGCATCCCCTTTTATCATTATTGGCCAGGAGAGCCCATGATCTTTGCTTCATTTTACCAACTTTAAAGCTTAAATAGGACACAGTGTTTAAAGCTGTATTTGTCTGACATAAATAACCAAGATATGTAGCCTAATGTTTTCATCAAACCTAAACCTGTGTGTAATTGGTTGCAGTTGCCATGAAACCCACTAAATTGGTTCAATTAATTATGTCATAACATTACATTTGCATAATATTTCTGTTATGTAAACATAACATTATAGTTTTAACTGTGTCCACCCTCAATGTATTTTGTGGCACTTAAGTATGATGCTTGGATGCTGTGAAGCTAGAGGGCAAATGGAGATTTCTCAAGAAGAAATGGAGAAAGGTGAAGAACATCCAAAGCAGTAAGAAGAAGATAGCAAAATGTAGAAAAATATTGAAAGGAGATCATTTGGATTCTGCTCATGTTCATTTGTAGAAAGCCAAACAAAGGAAACATGAAAATAAATGGATCAAATGGGGCAAAGACCATGAGGCACAGTGAAGAACAGAGGTGATTGGCTGGGGAATTTGGGGAATTAAAGTCCACAAGTCCTAAAGTTGCCTAGGCTGGACATCCCTTTGTTGAAAGAAATGTTTTGGAGTCCTAGTAGACTGGAATTATATCTGGACCAGAGTCAATCTAATGGTTTGAGTTTATTCATCTTTGCTTTTAAGGCACAATAACTCTAATCTCTGTTTTAAGGATAAGATTAACAATTTTTCGCTTGCTCCTGTGTACAAATGATTAATGTTATGAGGTAATTAATTAAACCAATTTGGCAGGTTTCATGACACACTGAAACTGCAACCAATAAAGAGCCTCACAGGCCCAATGGAAGAGATGATAATTTCTTTGCTTAAAAAAATGAACAAAGGAACTTCATTGCATATCCCCAAGTACTACAGATGCTACCTATAAGACTTATTTGTATGATCTCCTCAGGTTGAGAAGATGGATTTTAAAAGGATGCTCGTGTTTTGAAAAGTGGGAGATACACATGGAGGTCAGTGTCTGTGCCAAATGACCTGTAGTGTAATTTAATACTGGCCTAGAAAAACTTAATGCAAGCATTACAACATTGGTTTTCTTTCTAACAGAGCCCCAGTGAGATTCAAGCTGCAGAGTGAGAGAGAACACCTATGTCTCAATTTTACCTAGGGCAACACATTCCTTTCTTTATGATTGATTGATTGATTGATAGACAGAAAGATGGATAATGAAGAAACTTGTTCAGCTAAAAGGAGGAAACTACAAAAAAAAAATAAAGAAAACCATGTCAAACTTCTTGTTCCTATAATTTTGACCAAGGGAATTATTTAAATAGGAAGACTGAAAATCCGTTGAGCTAGAAGTTAGCAAATTTCCCTTTTTAGTGGTTTACCATTTTAATAGTCAGCAATTGGATTTTGAAATACTGTTAACAAAGCAAGACATTTAGGGTAATCTTCTCTTATATCCAGCCTCCTTTCCTTATAATTGCTCTATGATACAAGAATCTTCTTGGGTCATTCTATTTTCATAAAAGAAAAGTATGCAAGACTTGTAAAGCCACAGTGGTCCTGATGCATTAGCCCTGCTAAATTAAGTAAGGGCTCTTTGTAGCCACTGAAGAGAGTATCCAACACTAGAGGAGGTTATGCAGTACAGTGCTGTGAACACCTCTTAAGAGCCACTTGAAGTAGGAAAAAATAGCAAGACTTGACCCCCATCTGCTTCAGAATGCAGATTAGCAGATCTCATCTGGATTTTCTTTCAAGTGAGGAAATTCGTTGCATATGAAAGCTAGTCTTCCGGGAGAAAATGCTTAAACCCAACCCTGTTATATGAGGCCACTGCTGTTGGGAAGAATCCAAACATCTACCTTGCATGTGTATATTGTTTAGAGATAGATCAGATTGGCAAAAAAAACCCCAACAACCTTCCGGCAGATAGATGAATGAATGAGAACAGAAAATCAGAAATTCTGCTAATGAGCACATTGTCTTATCTCCCTCTTCCCCAAGACTTTAAACAGCTTTTAACTTACAATTATATGTGAAGTTTGAGATGGAACTTCGGTTTGTTGTAGGTTCCATGTTCTCAAGTGTGTAATTCTAATATGGGAGATTTTGGGGATTGGACAACCTGGTAAACCTAAGATGTTGATTAAAGAGCTGCATGTCACAGAGGATAAAATTAAGGCACCTGCGTGCTCGCCAGACTTTCTGGCTTAGCATGTTATGCAAACGTATCTAATGAAAATATGAGAGTCCTGTCTCAAAACAGGTCTATCATGTATAGTTTTGCCTCTGGAGCATTCCCCAACCTGGTGCCTCATCATCATTCAATGCACCTGGAAGCTACAGAATGAGAAAGGTTTTTAAGAACATCCAAAACTAGAGTATTTGGAAGTATAGATGTGATATGTGCAGGAGTTTCATAGAGGATGGGTCAGTAGCATCAAAATGGCAGGCACGATTGGTCAATAAAAGCTCCACTTCTTTTTATGACATACAATGCATGTGTATTAGTACAGGAACGTCTTTGTAAGTTGCCCAAATCTGTTCACCTTAAGAGAACGAATGAGGAAATCATAAATGGATATAAGCCATGGATGAATGAGATGGATAACCTGCAGTTGTCAGCAATATCCCTGAGTTTATATTTTATTCCATGTCTCTAAACTAGGTAACAATGGAGTTCAGTGTTATACCTCCTTCACCACCCACCACTGGCAGAGGGGCCCATCTGGGAGGAGATTGTGAAAAGTCAAGATGGCAGCCACAACTGCATGTCTAAAACCCTTTTGTACATGACACATGCAAAAATATTGGTGGTAGTGGCTTCAATTTTCCAATTGTGACCATTATGACTTGACTCCCCCATTGGGAGTCCTAGCCACAAACTCCATGGCACACATTAAGATTTTTAATTTCAAAAATAGGTCTCCTGAACTTTGGAAAGCAAAGTTAGCAGCCAAAAGGGGAAACTGCAGTTTTCAAAATATCTCTGATCTCAAGCAGACCTTAGAAGCATTGGAAGGCAAACTGATAGGTGTCTATATTTCAGTACATTGTTTGAAAATCACCTACCCAGAAAAGGCAAAGAGCATATTGGGAGCTAGAGGGGATGTGTGGCTATACTTTGCACTTATCATGTTCACTATGGCAACCTCTTTGTCAAGAGTATCTGTGATATATTTTCTGAAAACTTTTAAATGTATTCACCAGCTCCAAAGATGAGGGAATTTCTATGCTAGCCAGTCCTGATTACTGAGGATCATTTCTATCTGTGGATGATGCGTGAAGTTTGCAGTCCTTTACCCAAATCTCTACTGACATTTGTGGAACTTAACTTCCATGTTGATCTATACAAATGTGTCAACATGCTTCCTCCGAGATGCCACTGCTGAACTCAAATGAACACATCATGCCACTTATCTACAAAAAAGTTTAATTGAAATACCTGTATAAAAAAATATGATCTCCATACATTTCACACTGTTAAACAGAAGGAAAAAAAATCCAAATCCAAGCTGCTTAAGTGCAACCAGATCACAGAACACACATCTATTAAAATAAATTAAGGTTTATGACTCTGCCACTCTTCCTTCCAGAGCCAATGCACAAAGACTGTACAATGTCAATAATTTAAAACCCTTCAAAACAGCATTACTTTACAGTTCTGGTATGTCAATAATACCAGACAAAAAAGGCATACTAACTTTTAAAGTCATTCTAATTCCCTTAAATTACTTTGTACAATGTTTTTCTATCTTCCAACCAAAAATGAAGGAAAAAAAGAACAGGTATGGTCAGGCTTTATATATTTCTTTGTCAACAACCCACCCCTACCCCCAAAAGAGGAAAAGACAGGAATGCAAAAATAATTGTCGACTGATCCCAGAGAAATCTCCACAACAGAAGAGAGATAAAAGCAGTGTTGCATAATTCTAAACAAATAAATTAGCTAAAATAAATAGCCACAGCTGAGTCTGTGAGAGGTTTTCTAAACTCCAGACAATAAATAAAACTTGTATAGTACAGGGGAAAAATTTACATAAACACATTATACAGGTAATGGGAAAAGAAAACAAAACCCACACGCACACAGTCCTTGAATATTGCATTGATTGTGCATTTAACATGCCCATTCATACTTTTTTTTTTTTTAAGACTTGGAGGTTGGGGGAACTGAGAAAGGGCCTTTTTTTCTTGTGCCCAGTGGTAGAGATGAAATGAAATATGGGTAAATGTTCCTGATAAATGTTCCTGTGCAGGCTATGGAAATATTATGTGGATCAGCAGAAGTTGTCTTGCTGAGGGGTCTGGGGGGTCTGGCGGAGAGAAAGACTGGGAAAGAACAGGGTGAAATGTCTATGTTCAAGTATTCCATCATCAGTTGATGGGACTACTTCATTCAGTCACTGAACATGTTTTCTAGTGCATCATAGGGAGCTGCTTCCCCAGCACCTAGAATGGAGAAGGGAAGGCAGGTTCTATAATGTACTGGATCTTCTTTGGACACACACAGCTCAAAAAAGAAAGTCCCACTGAAGCAGCTTTCAAAAAGGCACTCAAAAAAGCAAATAAAATTTAGTCCAGGCTCTATGAGAGCAAAAAGGTTTACCGTGTTATTTAAAGAGGTCACTGCTTTTCTTAATAATAATAATAAAAAATAATATTAAGGTCAGTCTTTTGGGTTAAGTACTGGCCTGCCAACTCCCATATATTAGCGTTTCCAAAGGAAATTTCATTCTGAAGCAGAAACCAGCGATAAGGGGAAAATTTAAAAAAAAATCAATTCCCTCAGACAAAGATTCAAAGTACAGAATAATTAATGCATTTCCCACCCACCCCCAGCCCCTTCTACATATTGGCAGCAGCAGCAGCACTCTGGTCTTTTCTCTCTCCCTCTTTTTTTCTGCTTGTGGCTCCCCTCCCTTTACAAGGTCCTCAGTATTTCACAGGCTCTCGTTGCTTGAACTTGTGCGAGACACGTCCGTGCCAATGGTCCGTAACCTTATGTCACAATCTTCTGACTTCACAACTTCAGATTTGTGCAACCATGGGTGGTCAAAAATTTGCTCAAGGGTTGGTCTATCTGAAGGCCTCAGAGAAAGGCACCACTTGATCAGTTGTTGGCATTCTGAAAGACAAGAGAGAAAGCAGGTCAGCCACCAAAACAATCCATTAGGTGGGCAGAGGAACAGGATTGTGGAGATCTGTAAATCTCAGCTCACCCAGGGAAATTCGCCTCCTGAAATACAAGCGTCCTCTCAAGATCTCTTCATCTTGTTCAAAAGGGATGTCTCCACAGACCATGTCATAGAGCAGAACACCCAGTGACCATACAGTAGCCGATCGCCCATGGTATCTGTGATAGCGAATCCATTCTGGAGGGCTGTACACTCGTGTTCCTGTGGGGGGGGGGGAAATACAAGACCCCTTGCCCTGTTAGCCAAGACGAACTTTCAACTTAAGAGCATATTTTATGCGTTGCCATTTCAAAAATCCCAATTAAAAAAAAAAAACAACTCCTCACAGCACACAAACATATATGAGGGAGAATTCTGGACCTTACATCACCCCTTGGATTATATCATGTTTTAATCTCGGCCCTCCGGTCGTTCTATTTTGTGGTGATGAGCAGCACAAGCTTCCCATCAGCTGACTGTTTACTAACATAAAGCTCCCTTTCCTTGACCACGTGGCGTCTGCAGCACCGTACCAAAAATAGACACAAAAGGACAAAGGAAGAGGGGATGAAAAGAGAGAGGCAGGAAAGGAAAAAAAAAAAGAAAAAGAGGTGAAACTCCAGCCTTGGTTGCTAAATCAGTTTTTGGCCACTTCCAAAAGTATGCCAATCCCTTTTTTTAATAAAAAGAGAGACAAAATCAGAGTAACCTTTTAAAAGAAGACTGAAATCTGCCTCGCGCATTAAGAAGGCAGTTAGCAACTGCCCTCCCTCTGCACCGAGTGGTTACTTGGATACCAAATGAAAACTGGAATTTGTGATGCCGAAGGTCACATGGCCAGGAGACTCTCGTTTCACAACAAACAGATGTTAAGTGCTGCAGCTGACTAGGGAAGGGAGGTGAAAAACGGTGCCTCCTTTACTTGGATCACCTTCACCTTGAAAGAAAGAAAATCTTGCCATTCTCAGGGGGGGGGAAAAAATCCCCAAAGATAATATAACAAATGGAGAGAACCTATGTTTCACTGTGTAAGTTTTTTAAATGGGAAAGAAAAACTCCTTTTAGGCTTTACCCACCTGGTCCCTCAATCTGCAATGCGGGATTTATAAAACATCATAGGAGAATGAGGAGTTGGGAAAGGAGAAAACCAGGTATTTGTGTGCGTGCGTGTGTATGTGTGTGTGTGTGAGAGAGAGAGAGAGAGAGAGAAAGGGAGAGCAGAGTTGGGGGGGAAAGCACCAAGAAAAGTACAGATGGAAACATACAAGCTTGACTCAACTGTAAACACATCGCCCTCTAGGAAAATGCCTTTATTTTTATTTTTTTTTGAAGGCAGGGAAAATATAAACTGCTGCGTCACTGCCTGGAATGGCTCCTTTCCTAAACAACTTGACACCCCCCCTCCAGCTGCCTCCATTGGAAGGGATTTAATTATCAACCTGCTACTGACTGCAGCAGCAAAAATACATTTTGTCAGTCGTAGGTGGTGAGAATGTGATTAAGAATGAGGAGGTTGTGTCAGGATACTTTCCCAATTAAACACTCATCCACCCACCCATCCACACACAGGGACTTGCTGCGGTTGGGAGGGGCGCGTACCATCAAAGTCAGTGTAGACTGTGTCCTTGAGAATAGCTCCAGACCCAAAATCGATCAGCTTCAGTTCTCCTGTCCTGAGATCCACTAGAAGATTCTCGTCCTTGATGTCTCTGTGTACTACCCCGCAGCTATAGCAGTGGCGCACTGCTTCCAGGACTTGACGGAAGAAGCCCCGCGCGGTGTCCTCATCCAGCGCCCCCTTCTCCGTAATGAAGTCAAAGAGATCCTTCACCAGGTCTGGTCGTTCCATGATGATCAGGTAGCCATCAGGCCTCTCGTACCAGTCGAGCAGCTTAATTACACCCCGGAAGCCCGAACCCACTTTCTTCAACAGGACTATTTCCAAGGGCACCATTACTCCACCCTACAAGGAGGAGGGGTGGGGAGGGAGGGAGGGAAACAGAGGGAGAAAGAGCAAAGGAAGACATTGTGAA